GTGGGTATTCAAATGAAAGGTCTCGATGAGTGTAATTTCGGGATGAGCTTATATCTTTAAAAATGTCAATAGTTCACAAGATAAAATGTAATTCTTTAATTAATGACATTTTTTAAGATATTAACTCATTTTAATGTTATACTCATAAAGAGCTTTTATTTGAGTACCCACATGCATTTTTGATATATTTTTCATATTTACATATATATAATATATATTAATAAATATAAATATATGAAAAATTGATGTGGGTACTCAAATGAAAGGTCTCGATCAGTATAATGTCAGGGTGAGCTTATATCTTTAAAAATGTCAATAGTTCACAAGATACAAGGTCATTTCTTAATTATGTATCTAGAGATAGAGTATTTTCAAATGCAGCCTAAATACTTATTATCATAAATTGACTATTGGTGAGAATAATATGAAACCTTAAAAAGGCACAAATTCAAATCAATACCTGCAATGACACTAAATTTCACTAAAAAAACCGATTTTGTCTTATGACTATCCTGGACATAAAATTTTTCTTATTCTTATACTAATATGGATAATAAATAGTGATCAATTGATAGTAAATACTATTTCAAACAGTAAAATTGTGATTTTACTAGTTAATTTGTGATATTTATTATTCGAATGCTACAATTCAATAATTATATAGAAAAAAATAGCATTTAAAACAGTAATAACAGCTATGTAAATGTCCAAAAAGTTTAAGTATAATAATTAACAATTACAACTTTAATGTTTATCATTTTGCGTGTAAAAGATTATCGTGTGATATGGAAAAAATATTAAAAATGGTTACTAAAACTACTATAGGAAAACTTTTAGATTTTTATGTAACCAACGTCAACATTTTCAAGGTAAAATAGTAAATTTTAAACGCAACGATAAAAACAAATCTATAATTATTGATTTGCTTTGACTGGTAAAAAATATATTTAAAGTGGAGGATTTTTACTGTTTGACTTTGTTAAATTTAACGGGTGATTGTCACCTTTTCTCCCTTCTCCCTTCAAAAGTTTAACTAATACATATCTATAAGTAGCCATTCTAACTATTTTAAACTGTTAAATTAAAGTAGTTAGAGTTGTTATTTAACATATTATTTATCACAAGTCACTCGATATGATATTATAAAATACATATTAATTAAAATGGGAATTTTTACTGTTTGAAAGAATGAACTTTAAAGAGTGAGAGTCGTTATTAAATATAGCAAGCTACAAATAATTTTTTTTCAATATTAAATTATAAATGAACTTTATACTTCTTTGCATGATTCGTGATTTTTAATAAAATTTCCCGGAGGGAAATTTTTTAAAGCAGTAATAATTAACCAGAATCTGACTAAACAATTGTTTTTCTGTTCATATAGATAACATCGAATCAAACTCCACGGTGATGTACAAATTAGTAAAAACTAAGAAAGGTCAACAAGTCTTCTTCACCAGTGCTATCACTAAGCTCAAAATAGGTGACTACAAGACCAAGTTTGTTGCAAACTCTGAACCGACCACCGCATTATCCGACGCAATTAACTCTGTAGTGAATGGAAACAAAGGGGAAATAATTGCTGCTATTACTCCTCATATTGAAAGAGCAATGTCCAGAAAGCAACTTGAAATAGCTAATCAAATTTGTAAGCACTTTACTTTCGAGGAGTTATTTCCCGATCGAGAATGAACTATACATTATATTATTGTATTTAAGTTATACCAATATTTTATTTACTAAAACAAAGTCGCCCCGCATGAAAATACTATATATCGTTAAAAATATATTATACAATATATTGCAAATAAGTGATGAATATATGGCGGCGAAATTGTCTATATTGAAAAGTATAACTTTATTCTATATATGGAACCATGTATCTTAAATAATATATTCATTAATATATGGTGAGCTATGTATCGTTTAGTATATATCATCTGCTATATTACCGAAGACATAAAAACCATATATAATATATTATGTCCAATATATGAAGAATATATGTAACACCATGTATTTATCGATACATTATTTTAAGTATAAGGTATCAATATATAAAAAGTTTTACCCATACACATATGGATCGTGCGTACACGGAGCAAATATATGATTTATACATGAGAATGATATATTTATTTATAATATATTGCACGCCTCATAGCGCGAAGCGCGTGAGGTTGTGCTTTATACTCGACTCGTTAAGATCAAGCAATTTTGTGATCTTTAAATGCCTCTATCACAACCATATTATACTTATACAATGATATAAGTAGATGTACACCGAAAAAACACTTAAATTGAACCATCTGTTACTTTCTAAAATCATTTAATGTTGCTATTTTGAAAAAAATTTTACGTGGACGTCCGGATGTCACCCCATTTTGGATGTACCAACGATTACTCCCGAACAAATTGATATTTCAAGACCGGATCTTTTTTATTAGTTTAAGAATTCGATGAACTTGGTCCGTATTGCATATCAGTGGCCTAGCTTACGTATTTTTTTTTTTTAAATTGAATGTTTATTAAAATTTACTACGATACAACCGTACAAAGCTAAACGAACTTTCCTTATTTGTCACGTGAAAACTATGGCGCCATTTGATCAAGCTAGATTTTTTTAGACTGCGTGCGCGCATGACAAGAAGAAAGGGCGCCGATATTTAAAAAAAAAATAAAAAATACTCTGTAAGAAATTACTTAATTATAATTTTTTTTTTTTTAATCAATTACACAATTAATTTTTTTCTTAAAAAATGAATGAGCGTTATGAGGCGTGCACTTTTGGATTTTCCAAAAATTTTTTTTATATTATTATGGCAAAATTATAGATATGATTTTATATATCGTTCCATGTATCACATTATAATATCAATATATTTAATCATATATTTTGAAACATATAAACCTTTTTCAAGCGGTCGTGCAAAAATGAAAATGAAATTTCTTCAATAATTTTTTGAAATGTCTCTCAATATTTATAAAATTTTGTCATTGTTATCATTATCATCGTAAATTTTTCTATAATTTAACAAACGAGTGTCTTTAATAGCAGCCATGTAATAAGTATACAAACTATCGTAATACTTATAATATTCAAAATTATCTCTCAATTCTTCATTATCGTGCAAATTGCTATACTGTTCTCCAACAATCCTGAAAATACCATCTTTAACTTCTTCTTTCAACGTGTCTTCGTCGTAAAGGAAATAGGTGTAGACACGGGGCAAAGATAGACTGATGATAGTATCAGAGCTTTTGTACGTCCAAGGAAGCTTGGGACTCAATGGTGGAGTCATTTTGCTAATAATTTCGTGACAAATCGAATGTTTTATTTCCGCGTTATCTTCGAAATTGGCGAGCGATATGTAAGTCGCCAAGAATCGCGTGATACCTTTGGATACTTCGGTCCAATGGAACTGTTCCGGCTGGTTGTTAAAATCAAAATCGGTTATCAATTTTTCGTGCAATTTCTTCACGAATTCCGTCACGTATTTACTGGCTGCATCATTTTTATGACGCGAGCAATATTGGAGAATTGTAACTGCGTTGTCGCACAATGACTGGATTTCTCTGTTATCAGGTTCTTCTTTACTCCAGTTTTTCAACTTATCCGGGAACTCGGGAGTTTTTATCTCGTTCTCGATTGACGGTGGCAATGCTTCGATGTTTTCTTGGAGCGCAAACTCGATTTTTCGGATGATTATGTTGCGGATTAAAGTTTCTAGTGATGAGCGCATTTTTTTTTTTAACTTTATTTACGTTCTAATAAATAGTAAACTTTTTTAAAAAATTTTATCTTTTAGTTTAAAGATACACCTTAAATTTTGAATTCAAATTCCGGATCGAGACGCTTCAATAATATATATCTTGAAGTGATAACATAAAAATTTAATTTATTGAACGTTGGATATAAAACAGACCTTGATATTATCGTTTTCGCTGTCGATAACTGTTTTATCAATACAGAGATTTATATTACCGGTAAAGATAATTCATAAAGACAGTTTATTATTATTATTATTATTTTTAAAAATTTTACTTTTGAAATATTAAGGGGTTACATGGGTTTCCTCCGGTAAAAATGGCCTATTTTCAACAATTTTTTTTTTAATAGAAAAAATGAAATATTTTATTCAAACTTTTTACTGTCTTAAAGATACATGTTTAATAAGGGATTACTGAAATTAAAAAAAAAAAATATTAAAAACTCTGCTAATGTGACGTCATTTCCGGCGAGTCCTCGGAAAAAAGATGCGTCCGCGTGGACAGCAGAACTCCTAGCAAGATCATCAGAAGTGAAAAAAAAAAAATATGTGCTTTAGTTACGACTTCAAACTAGGTCTTGAACGAAGGAAATAAAAAAAAAAAATGAAAATTGGATTTTTGCCAGAGGTTTTTACAAAAAAATTAAAAATTTGGCTAAAATTTCGCGGCATTTTTTTTTTTAAATAGTTGTTATTGAAAAAAAAAAAGTGTGTGTGTACTTATGTACACGCGTTAGCAGTTATACTTCTTTGGTGTAACAAGATAAAAATCTTTTTAAAAATTTTGTCTTTCTAAAAATTTATTTTAAATTGTTTTTTTTTTTAAATTATTTCTCGCTGTGATTAATTTGATTATTCGTTTAAGTTTATTAGTGTGTTCCAAATATTTATTAAAATTTATTTTGATACTATCGTCATGTTGTACTGTGTATGGGACAATTTGATGATAAATTTTATTATTAAAAATTTTAAGATTACTTTAAGAAAGAAACCTTTAATTAAATTTAATATTTATAATAATTTAATTTTTTCGGAATTAAATATTTTTATTATTTGTACCTATTATTAATTTATTGATTTAATTATAAACTTATCAGACATAAAATAAGAATGTGAAAATTTATTTTAGTTTATGATGTACATAAATAATATATACCGTCAACTAACTTCAAATTCTATAAACGTATTCAAAGGAATATGTAAAAACTATTATAATATATTATGTTATCTGACAAAATATATATTTAATATATTTATGTATAGGTATTTGTATATATTTTATTCGGACTGATACAAAACTATGGAGGGTAGAGGTACCTCTACCCTCCATATACAAAACACGTGTGGTAGGTTCAGAAACACTTAAATAAATGAATATTGTGAATAAAGTTGTTACAGTTGTCAGTTCTCACGCAAACATACGCGTAGATGTCCTTTTTACTTTGTTGGTACCTTTTTTAGAAAAACTAAAATGTTGACTATAGCTAACTTCATCATGTCACAAAATCTGGTATATTTATCTTACAATAATGGACCGAATTCCGTAATTTCAACTTGGGACTCCCAAGGAAGTCATATCGAGACAGTAAATCAGAATATCGGAAGCATTCCCCTCCAATGGACTGCTGAATTGGTCAATTCTGTCAACCGCCCAAGCCAATATTCAATTAGCAATTTTCTATCGCTATTAGACAATCCTCAATCTTGGATTCTGAAGCCGTACTCTCCAGATTCTCGCAGGACATTTGCTTCTTGGAATGTTCGGATCCGACTTCCAGTCCAGTGGCGATCTAATATAATTTTACAATCTTCACGACTGGATAATGACTACTATGCGAACTGCTTACTCAACACTGATAACGCCGGAGTTCAGATTATTCCATCACACTCCGGTAACATTCCATCAAACAGTTCTTCGGAACTGCTGGAAATAGATCTATCATTTCCGATGTCATTGACGTACAGAAACAACAAGCTCACAGTAGGATTTACCGCCCGACGTGTCCAAGTCTGAGATAGTTTTTCTATTCACAATTGACCGTAAGAAATAAGTCTCAAAATATTATTATTTAATATGTAAAATTTTGCATAGTGTTTGTTTAATAAATTTTTCTGGGATTCAATATTTGCAGTTCTTCTAAGAAGAAATTATTATCGGTAATTTTTATTATTTATCCAAATTATCCAGTATCCAGTCCATATAATACGCTACACTCGTATAAATCCCATAGTTATTCATCCCATAACTAATAATGCCATGCTGAATAACTCGCGCATCATTATAATATCGACCTGTTGATAAAAGCGGGCCACCACTGTCGCCAGAAGCGGAATCTCCGCCGTTTATACCGACAGCGCATGTCTCTTTGTACCAAATAATAACACTATTGAGTCCTAAGGCCTCGGTACATATTTTAATAGGAAGAAGCTGTACGTCAGCCCTTAAGAGTTGCTTACTGAGATTATCAAACTCAGTGGCGCCCCAGCCGGTCACTGACAAAGTCTTGTAATCCATCTTCTGATTTTGTTCAATTGGCAAACAAATAGGCTTAGCATTTATTGGCAGAAAGTCTATATTTTTGTGCAGACGAATCAGTCCTATGTCATTCCTTAACGTCGACAGCTTGAAGTCGGGATGGAATTTTGTGCTCTGCACTAGAAAATCTTGATATGAATCGTCGGAACACATTATTTCCAGGCCATTTTTATCAACGTCACAATCACGTTTTGTACTCCAGTCATGCTCTCCGACTCGTACTCCGAATAGAGTTCGACCTATGAAAAGATATTGTTAAGAAGGTTAGAGCGTAACTTATGAGTCAAAATAATGTTTAAATTTTTTTTTACTTTCAGTCTTCCCAATATTCGTCAAAATTCTTTATTTTAATTTAAAATAATTTGAACAATTTAATAATTGATGATTTTTACTTGATTAATAAAATAAAGTAATAAAATGACTTTGGTATTTATTACTTGCCGGATTAAATAAACAGATTTGGCAACAGCGCGTTTGATTATACCCATTACAGAGACGCGGATGAGTGTGTCAGTTAAATATTTCTCTCTCTGTAACTATATTTCTATCCTTTTATTTTTTCTCAGCTGTTGACGCGACGTTGCCAAATCTTTATTCGAATAAATAGCTGACGATAAACGAGTCAAAAACATTAAATTAAACTTTAAATATTTCGAAAATTATATCGGTAATGTATTATTATTAAATTTTTTTTATATTTTACAATAATCCAAATTTTGCGTGTATAGTTTTTTATTCGTTAAAGTTGGGAGGTTAATATTGAAAAAAATAATTAAAGTCTCGACTAAACGTTTGTCCGCCATAAGAGCCCGTGTATAAGGAGTTAAAAAATGTGATTTTTGAAATTTAATATCTAAGTAACTAAACGGTGAATCTTTTTTCAATTTTTTGATTAGATAAATTGCGTATTTATTTATACGTATACTTAATTTCAAAGCTCAAAGTTGGAAATTATTTTTTACATTAGATTCGCTCGAAACTTCTTAATAAGACCCAGTATCTAGTCTGCAATTTTGGTTCAGATGACAAAACACTCACCTGACGGCAAATCCTTGACGCAGTGAGCTGCTGTCAAAATATACCTTTTGCTGATAACTGTCCCACCACAGCCAAATTTCTTCTTTCCCCTGTGAAGATAAACTAGCAGCGCCATCCATGGGTGATCAAATATACCTGCAATTTTGCCTCTGTATACTTTAGCTTCATTCATCGGACCACAGAGTTCGTGATCAAGTAACCTCAAATTAGGATGATTAGACACATCTGGTGGATTCGGAACCAATTCTGACGCTTCTATTGTCAAGTTATCTTTTTCAACGGAATCTGTACAGCATACAAACGGCATTTCTCCTTCTAATCCACATTGTGATTGACGAAGAAATCGCAAAGTAGCATCCGACAACGGTTTTCTACCTCTGAGAATATTCACTATAGAAGGACACTCTACTACTGGAATGCAAACACCGATTTCTTCACGTGGTGTTTCGCAACTATTTTCTGTAAGAAGTCTTTTAGTAAATTAGTTGTTGATTTTAAACTTCAATAATGCTTAATTAGTAAATAAAAATAACTTACTTACGAGCACTAATAGTTATTAAAATATAACTAAATAATATCAATAACTTCATACTGTTTTCCTGGTGCGTATCTTCTGGTTTTATTTACAAATTAAGTGTTAAATTAAAATGCCTCAATTATTACTTGGTTGTAAACTGACATCTATGTGTAATAGCAAAACGATTTTAAAGAAATTTTGGATAGAGTCACGTGGGGTAACTTTACGCAGTTGGTAAGTGTGCGCAACCCCTTTATTTTTTAATAGAGAGGGGGAAGTTTATGATATGTTTAGGAAAATTAAAAGTTTGTTAGTGCTTTGGGATGTGAGGGTATATATGTGATAGAAGTTTATAAGGGTACATACAGTTAGACGTAAGTCAGGCAGGTAGTCATAAAAATAATCTAAAAGTAAACTTCGGGCCACTTAAATTTAATAGTTTTTGCCCTTCAAATTTTGTAAAGGAAATAATGAGTTTACTAGGCACAAAAGTAAATCCTGTAATGTAATTTTAATGATACTGTTGACGAGTCTTTCCGTATAGCAGGCCATGTACGAAAAAAGATAAAATTCACCGTGAAAATCGTTAAGGGGTTACATGGGTTTTACGATTTAAAAAAATCGATTTTTTTTGTCTTATTAAATTCTACAACATCTCTAGAATACTGTCCTAAAGTTTTAAATCGATCCGAATAATAGTTTTAAAAAGTTGCGCGCTCAAGGCGCTGTTGTATTGTCACTCAAAACTTTAAACGCGTTTTTCTCAAAACTATGTTTTCAAAGACGGTTGTCAAGATTTCTCGAGAACTACTCAACCGATCTTGATGAAATTTTAGACAGGTCTTTGAGATATAATTTACAAGGTCTTGAACGAAGGATTTTTTTTTTCAATTACAACTATTTAAAAAAAAAAATCCCGCGAAATTTTAGCCAAATTTTTAATTTTTTTGTAAAAACCTCTGGCAAAAATCCAATTTTCATTTTTTTTTTTTTTCTTTCGTTCAAGACCTAGTTTGAAGCCTTAACTAAAGCACATATTTTTTTTTTTCACTTCTGATGATCCTGCTAGGAGTTCTGCTGTCCACGCGGACGCATCTTTTTTCCGAGGACTCGCCGGAAATTACGTCACATTAGCAGAGTTTTTAATATTTTTTTTTCTAATTTCAGTAATCCCTTATTAAACATGTATCTTTAAGACAGTAAAAAGTTTGAATAAAATATTTCATTTTTTCTATTAAAAAAAAATTGTTGAAAACAATAATAAATGTTAAATTACAAAGAAGCGGGTAGAAGATATAACCTTCATAGTGCAAAATTAGGATATGCAAGAAAAATCAATCCATATCAAGAAACTATTCCTTGAATCGGTTATCGAGGACTATATATAGAGGGTTTATTAAATTATCACATAAAGAACAAGTCATTTGAGAAATAATTATATTTTATTCATAAAGATTTTCGATGTTGACAAAAAGCCTATTTACAAAAAGTATATTGTTTCACTAAATTTAAAAATAAAAAGCAGTCCTTGTGCCTTTATAATTCAGCTAACTATACACTTGCTGGTACATGTAGTCTTCATAAAATCCTGCCTTAATTGCTATCAAGCCCATAAAAATCGAAGAAGACTAAAAAAAGTTCAAAAATTCCAAAAAAACGTTCTTAAAAAATAATCAAAATTTCGGACTCATCCCTTCTACTGTCTCTCCACTAAAACTATCAGGATTATTCCTATTACAACTATTACTACGACTTCTACCAACATTACTACTACAACTATTACTACAACTACTGCTACTATCGGAGCTCTCGTCATCCAGCTCGATTTCTTCTCCATCATCATAAATTTTCGAAATCATCATTTCAAAGACATGCTGCAGCTTTTGAGCATTAGAAACCAATTTGTACTTACGGCAATCGTATTTATAACAATTACTGAATATGAGCCTCACATCTTCGATGAATTCTTGAGGAGTAGCATACATTCGATCCTCCAGTTTGCACTTGACAGTCAGCAGATCCATGGGCTTCTTAATGACATCATGGTAATCATCGAACTTCCATCGTTTGGCGTCCAGAGGAAGGTAAAACGGCCAGGCATACTCAGAGTGTCGTTTTCGGAAGAGATTTTTCAGGATTTTCCTACAATTCTTGAGTCCGGGAGAAAGTTCTTCTCTAAATTCGCCTCTGTTGCTCCTCCGGCGTTCCATCAGAGTACGGAATTCCGTGATGACACTCGAATCAACCTCCACATCTTTCAGTCGATTCGACCTCAGTCGTGCTCACAAACTTATTATCACTCAGCTCCTCAACTGAATTTTCAATTGACAAACTACCAAAAGTTTGCTCCGTAGCGAATTCCCTCGGTGAAGCTTCCAATGACCTGTTGGTGACTGAAGCATCAGAAGAAGCTCTGCTACGATCGGCAATTTTGCCACTTTCGCGCCGCACTTCACTTTCTTTCTTCGGCATACGAGCCATCTTCTGGTAGAATATCTTCTCGAGCGTCTGAGCCATCACAACGATATCCTGTCCCGGATCATTGTAAGTATAGCAATTTTTGAACATCCTTTTGAAATCCTTGATGCAGTCCTCTGAAGACCAGTAGTATCTGTTGCTAAGCCGCTTTCTAATAGTGCCAAGGTCCATCGGATTGGTTATCACTTTGTAGTAATCAGGTATGTTGTGTTCAATTGTGTTCACTGGCTTTCTGAACGGTTTGCCGTAATCGTGATTCCATATTTTTTCCAGGACGTTTTTCTTCAAGAATTGAAGCTGGTTCGTCACACGGCCTCGACAACCTGCCAATGGCATAACTGCTGGTTGCACTATTCCATTTATGGGCACTAGGATTGCTTCAGTTGGATCATCAACTGCACCAGAGCAAGAGGGAACAATGTGCTGCTCCATGACAAGATTGATTATTGAATTTCACTTATTTAATTAAACACTATCACTTATCAGAACTTATATTAAAGCAAATGTATGAAACTTTTTCACGACAATGGTTAAATTTTGAAGTGACACATGCTTCAAGCAATAACTTACTGGCAAAAGAATGCTTGTAAAGTAATGGACCTTACTTGGGACATCACAATGGGTTTTCTTAATTGTGAAACTTCTCGAGGTAGAAGGTAGCTTTGCGTCTTTTGAAGATTGAGCACTTGTTTTGAACCCTTGGCAACAATAGGTGCATACCTGTATGTGCTATGGGATGAATTGGCAGAAGGGGCAGAGATATGGGTACACATTTTTGTACACTTATTTAAGGTAGTACTACCGTTACCACAAGGGTCAAATCCCAAAACTTAACCTTATTTGATTAACGTAGTAAATTTCTCTATACTAAATCACGTAGGAGAAAGAGACACAGATAAATTTTGAATGTTTTTTATTAATAAATATTCTCATATGCTCGGAAACCATACTATTTGTTGTTAAATATGTTATTTTCTCTCGTCTCAATTTTTATAAGAATCTGAACGTCCAATTTTGTGAAATAAAAAAAAATCTGTGATTTTCCATAAGGATCAATGGTAAAGACAAAAATATTTTTTTTTTTTTTTCTCAGGACTAGCCAGGCTTCCAATATTTTACGACTTATTTATGATATTATAAAGTACCAATATGCCGAATTTCAATCATTTTTGAACGTCAATTCTAAAACGAGTAGTACTACTTTAATCTTGTTGGATAGAAAAAAAATTGAATCTTGATATCTTAATTATATCTTAATAATTTGATGTCTTAATGAAAATTTATCACATCAGAATGTCACTACAATAAATGTTACGGGAAATTTCTAGAATTTGACATTCTAGAGCTAAGTTTAGGTTGACGAAAGAGAGCGACAGAGAGAAAGCATGAAAAGAACGAGCGTTAGTATAGAGTAGCGTCTTTTGATGTGACGAGTGGGGAAGGAGAAGGGGAAGGAGATAAAACAAGTAAGCGTTAGCCTCGGCAAGATACGATGTTTATGTTTAACAGTGTATTCTACTCGAACGCCATCTCCCGGAAGTTTAAGGTACTAGTAGCCTAAAATGCTTGCTAACGGTGGCTATCTTACCGACATATGATAACGAATAGACAATTGAAGGTAAACGTGGCATATCAATGATGACACGCTTTCCTCACTTTATTTAGGAACTTAGCTGTCACGAGTAATGTATTCTTCGGTAGTATAGTGGTCAGTATCCCCGCCTGTCACGCGGGAGACCGGGGTTCGATTCCCCGCCGGAGAGATTTATTTTTTGATTTTTTAAAATATTTTATTAACAAAAAATGAAAAAAAAAAGTTTTTGAAAAAAAAAATTTTTTTGTGAAAAAAAATTTTTTTTGACTTGTTCTCTAAAAGAATCTTAATTCTCATTTATTTAATAGTGTTTTTCGCTGTAAGAAAGAAGAAATAATTGGTAATGTTAATTATTTCAAATATTAAATATATAGTTTTCGTTAAAACAGCCGATCTTCTCTTTTCCTCGCGTCGCATTCGCTGCAAGAAAGGGTACTATCCTTGTTGCACTCATGATTATAAAGCTATTGCAGTTTTATGGTTTCCTTTTAAACAAATGAGAATTTCGAAAAAAAACGCTCTGCTACAAAATAGATAATTAAAAAATCTATTACGTAGCAGAGCGCGATTTTTTTTTTCAAAATTTTTCTTTGACTAAGAGAGAAATGTAAAGCAGCAATTAAGGACGAATTCTCGATTTAGCAAGAAAGAAAAATTAGAGCCTTTCATTAGAAATGTAGTTTATGTCTACTGACATAAGAATAAGTGAATAAGAAATTTAGCTGACAGGTAGAAAATGACAGAGTGAATTTTATGTAGTTATTCAGGGTCACTCAATCTCCGTAACCAATCGCTTAAAAGTATAATGGGTGTTTAATGACACAAAAATGAGCACTTTTAACTAATAGAGTATTGAGTATTAAATCAAACGTATTTTGTTCATAAATTTCAGAAGGAATAATTTGAAGAATATAAATTACAGGATGTAAAAAGGACAACTGTAGTAATATAGTGTTCAGTCACACTTTAAAAACTCTATTTTGATAAAATTCTAACAATTATCATGAACCATACGTTAAAAGTTGTTTTTTTGCAATTATTAGCTTTGTATTGCATAAAAATATCGTGTAGTGATGTTAATCAACTATCAAATAGTGCAAAACAAAGCGATTTATATTTTACAATAAATAAAATCCATAAAAAAAGGATATCTGAGATAAGTAAGTAATTTTTCTTCATACGCGTTCAGCAAGTTCACTTTTCAAGTACTATAGCGTACGCAAAGGCACTTATACCCATATAGCAATCTTTTTCAAGGCTTGAGCAACCCGAGAAAAAATGTTTGTATATAATCATATATAATTGTATATAATCATATATGGAATCACATATATAATTATATAGAATTATATATAATCATATATAATTATATATAATCATACATGATTATATATGGAAATGTATATGAGGTTATATATAATCATATATAATTATATATGACTATATATGGAGCAATATACAACCATGCAGGATTATACATAGTTCCATATACAATTATATATAAGTATATAATATTATATATAATCATACATGATTATATATGGAATTGTATATGAGGTTATATATAATCATATGTAATTATATATGACTATATATGGAGCAATATACAGCCAAGCAAGATTATATATAATTATATATAGTTATATATAATCATACATGATTATATATGAAATTGTATATGAGGTCATAAATAATCATATATAATTATATATGACTATATATGATATCTGGTCTTGCTCCAGATACTTGCAGCAAATTCAATTGACAAATCTTGAACAAGCCTTGTACAAGAACTTTCGGCCAGATTATAGCTCAAGAATTGTGGAAGAAAATTGAGAAAATCTGAAGATGCTTATCTATAAACTAACTATATCAATTCTTGAGAAAGACTGACACCAGAAGCATGCTGAATATACTTGTGCAAGACTTGCTCAAGATCTGCTCAAGATCAAATGTTTTCGACTGACCGTTCTTATCATTCTACCCCTCCTATATTTACTATAGGATCAGTGGATCTCATTCAGCTTAATCTTTTAGAGTATAGACCTACTGTTTTATCGATCAAGACAAAATTATTTTAAAATGACCACCACAGAATCAATAGATCTTCAAGTAGTGGAGGGGAAAAAGTGCTATAAAATATATAATGCATCAAGCATCTTGAGCAAATCTTGAACAAGTTACGCTTCAACATTTGCTGTTAGTTTTTGGTTGACAAATGCTTTAGAAATGAACAAATTACTGAGAATTACGGATCTTGAGCAAATGTTGAGCAAGTCATGGGTAAGTGTCTATTGTGAGTTTCTGATTCAAAAAATCCGTCAGAAAGTTTTTCAATGCACCTTGCATTAGACTTGTCTTATATTCTTGCACAAGATGTCTTGAGCTAGTTATATATAAATCTTGAAACAGTTCTTTCTACACGAACTTGAGCAAGACCCATATGTAGAAAAAGACACTATCAACTAGGGGTTTTGCTCAAGACACTGGCACCTAAATCTTGCTCAAGCACATGTTACCTAGGTATTGTAACACAAATTTACGAAAACAGGTGTAACTTTTACGTCCGAGATGAAGCCAATTATCAAAAATTGGAGAATTCTAGTTTGTATCACAAACCTTAATTAATTTTTGCTAATTGCAGAATGTGAAGAATATGAATTGATAACACGGCAATTGAAAACTTCAGAACAATGCGATCATTGTGTTTCGTTTTTAATGGCTCATGGACAGTATGCGAGAAAAAATGAGTTTCCACACATGGCAGCAGTTGGATGGCTTCAGGATAAAAACAGTGCAATCGAATATTCATGTGCTGGTTCATTGATTTCTGACCAATGGGTTCTAACTGCTGCTCATTGCACCCATAATGCTATGTGAGTATTTAGAATCTCAATTTTAAAAATATAGTAATAAGTCTTGAAAATTTGAATTGATAATGAGAATTTTGGTCTTTGACTTTTTAGATATAATCTAAAATTTTGTACTTTTTGGTCACAGGGGATTTCCGAAAGTTGTTAAATTAGGAAGCATTAATCTAAGTAACGATTCCGGAGAAATCATCAGTATTGTCAAAATAATCGTTCATCCAGAATTCAAACGACCACGCCTGTATCATGACATTGCTTTGTTGAAATTGGAACGTGGTGTAGAATTCAAGAACAATGTCAAGCCAGGTTGTTTGTACAGAAAATTTGAAACAGCGCCTGATGTTGTTTGGGCCACTGGATGGGGTTCCAGAAGAAATGGTAGGTTTGCTTTTGTTATTATGTGATAGAGTCTTATTTAATGACTCTGCATTGATTTGCGATAAGCTATTTTAAGAATCACAACCATATTGCACTAATACAATAATATGAGCAGACGTACATCGAGAAAATACTTCAATTAATCCATCTTATTTCTTTCGTTACAGATACTTACGATCCCAGCAACGAATTGATGATAGTGAAATTACAGACAATAGACAACATCAAGTGTACAATGGCATATGGCAAAACAATTGCAGTACCAAATGGCGTATCTCCAAGCATGATTTGTGCAGGTGATACACTGAATCATTGGAAAAGCGACACCTGTAAGGGTGATTCTGGCGGTCCGATTCAAGTGTACCGTAATTTTGACGATTCTAGTTTATTGTTTGACATTGTTGGGATCACTAGTTTCGGTAGATCATGCGCTACGGAGAATATTCCAGGTGTTTATATTCGAGTCTCGCATTACATCGATTGGATTGAAGAAATCGTGTGGCTGAATTAGTGATTTATCGACATTATATCCATATCAATACATAAATTATATTATTCACCGCACATTTGATTATTGTAATTGTGACTCTTTGACAAATAATAAAAAGAACCTGACTTTAAAACAAAATACAAGCTTGGAAAATTCAAAATTGCACGACTCATAAAGCGTTATAATCTGATCTACAATTCTAGCGCATGCGCTTCACTTATCTTATAATTTATAATCAAAGAATGCCGCAAAAATTTGAATTCAAAACTACGAGTTTAATAATTCATTTAATAAAGTGCTTGAGACTGTGGATTTTCTTGATAGGATTGTTTTTCTTCTATCAATTAGGGTAAATGCACCAGTTGTTGACCGATGTATAAAAAAGTTAATTAATTAATATTTTACAAGGGTTTTTTTTTCTTAAAGTATTAAAATAAAAAAATATGGCATTTAATCATCATAATAAAAAATTACGCAATTAATTGCGCAGTGATTAATAGCTTTAAAAAAATATTCTGAGTTTGTTTACAACGCAACCAGCCATAAAGCGGTCAAAAATAACTAGCGTACAATTATTGGAGAGTCAGTGCATTTCATCATTAATTTAGTGATATTTATCGACATAATATAAAATATTTTAGTTTTATTATGTTAATTACAGATCAAATTCCAACTTTTTTGAAAAAATAAAGTTAAATTATAAGTTTTAATATTATTTTAAGACCGGTCAACTATTGGATCCGTCAGAAGCCCTTTACCCAGTAAAAAATTCATTCGGTCATTTATTAGACCCTCTGATTTTATCACAATCCAATTAATCATCGTATATTTATAATACTAACTTCTTAACTCCAAAATTAAATCTGTCAAGTGTTTAAAGTACTTTAGTCATTCAATATTTTGTAAATATAAAAATAATCATTATAAAATGTATATTTACAATTAAAATAATACTTAAAATCTTTTTTGATTATTAAATTTTATTTTGTTCTAATTTTTTTAGTGAACGGTTATATCAAAGAACGAATTATTAGAAGAAAAAATTGCTAAGCAATTAAAAAAATAAAAAAGAGTTACAAGCTAGTGAAAAAAGCTTTAATTGAAAAAAAGAAGGAGAAGAATAAAAAAATTTCAAGTTAATCAGAAGAATTATCGTGATCAAAATGAATTTGTGATTATTTGTGACCTAAAGAAATGTGACTTTATGTTAATTATTGCTATTATTTATAATATTTTATAAAAAAGTAGTATACAAAATTACTTATGTAGTTTACAAAATTACTTATAATTATTTGAGCGGTGAATTAATTGGAGAACGCTCGGTCATTTATTGGGTTTCTTCGGTCAATAATTGGTGATTTTAGTATTTCAACATTCAAATAACAAAATTAATTTTTATTATAAATAGTTATTAATTATAATTAATTAAGTATTTAACTTGAATAAAATCCATTACAAATTGTTTTTAGTAGGTTAATAGATTTTTTATAGCTTAGTACAGAAAAAGAAAACCTTAATCGGTCAATAATTGGTGCATTTACCCTATCAAAATTTTCTTTTTTTCCATTTTGATAAACAATAATAATTTTTTTCTATTTTTAATCTCTATAATTTATAAAAATCTCTCCCTTTATCTTTCTCTAAAACAAATTCAAATAGTATTAATAACATCCACAATGTATATTTAGAACCAATGAATGCGAAACATTTGACAGACGAATTACCTCTCTACCTACTATACTTCTACATCTAAACACTCATTTAAAAAGAGCTTTGTTCACATTACATATTACATCAGTTAACGCTTACCGAACAGCCAGTCATTCACCGTCTACCGTTAACGTTTTACAACTTTAAAACGGTGTCACGATAATTTCGTGTGATTGTAATTTTTTAATAATTACAATGAAATAGATAGTTATTAAAATAATAAGTCCAGTATCTAAATTACTGAATTGATGCTATGTTAAAAATGTTATTACGGTACAAATATATTTTGATAGTGATCGGAATATTTGTTGTGATAAGTACCAGCTTCTTCATTAGTATTAGCGGCATAAATGGTCGGCTTGATGATAATACTGAGACTGACAGTTTCGATGACTTCGAAGATAATCTCTATAATCACGGTACTTAATTTGTTATTTAAAAAAAAATATCAACCGGCAAAATTTTGCTTCTTATCTGTACTTAAATGTCGGTATTGATTTTAACGGAGATTGATTGAAAAATTATCACGGTTCAAGTACACTGGGAATAAGTACGCTTATCGCTGTCTCAAGGTTACGTTATTTTCTATAATACGGATTAGAACACTGATAGAAGGATTTCTTAACATTTAAGAAGATTTCTTTGTATTTAAGAAATCATTTCTTAAACATCATTTCTTAGTATTCAAAAAATATTTCTTTGTATTTAAGAAATATTTCTTAAATACAAAGAAATAT